TTTTTTTTTTTTTTTTTTAAACACAACCCATGGGCCTAAAACAGAGCCTGGCACGGACTCAGAACTTCGCGTTTTTTGGAACTCAAATCCTGCAGGCACTCAGTATTTGTAGACTACAGGAAATTGCCAGACTGCACTTCGCACAAGTTCTGCAGTTAATCTCACATGCCTGCCAGAGAGCGGCGGAGAGCTCAGACTCAGGCCCTCATGGAAGCTGAGATTCAAGGAGGTGCCACAATCCCTGGGTCACTCATCGGGTTTTGTGGTTTGGCTTTGTTTTTGTCCTTTTTAGCAGCTCCATTCAAACCTAATTCCCACTCCATACAGCTGTCCAATTTCAAGGGTACCATTCGATGGTTTCAAGTGTATCTGTGCAACCATCACCACAATCCATTCCTGAATACTTTTAACACCCCAAAAAGAAACCCCAGCCCCTTCTCCTCGCCCTCTGCCAGCCCCAGGCAACCACTGGTCTGCTCTTTGTCTGCGCGAATTCACCTCTTCTGAGCGCTCCATATAAACGGAGGAACACAATACGTGGTCTTCGTGACTGGCTTCTTTTACAATCTTAGTGTGTTCGTCCAGATTGCGGCACGTATCAGGCCTCTGCTTCTCCTCGCTGCCACGTAATACCCCACTGTATGGACATACCACCTCGTGTTCGTCCGTCAGCTGAGGGATATCTGAGTTGATGGATCTGAATGGTTTCCACTCTTTGGCTATCAAGAATTAGGTGGCTATGAACATTTGTGCAGAAGCATTTGTGCACACATAGGTTTTTATTTCTCTTGGGTATAAACCCGGGTCACACGGCGACTTTAGTATTTTCAGGAAGTGCCACAGCCACTTTTTATCCAACTGGCAGCGTATGACTGATTTCTCCACATCCTTGGCAACATTTTTTTTTTTTTAACGTATGTTCATTTTTGAGAGAGGGGCACAGCACAAACAGGGGAGTGGCAGAGAGAAAGAGGGAGACACAGAATCTTAACGGTCTTTTAAATTATTATAGACACCCCAGTAGATGTCAAGTAGTATCCCACTGTGGTTTTGATCTGCAGCTCCCTGACAGCTAATGATGTTGACCATCCCATCGTGTGCTTATTAGCCATTCTCCTTATGACCTTATCATAAACCGATTTATGGATCCTCTTGGGAGAAACATCTATTCAGAGACTTTGCTCATTTTATAATTGTCTTTTTATTATTGAGTGGTTAAGACTTCTTCATATATTCTGGATAGAAGTCTTTATCGGATTTATACATGATTTATAAAAAAATTTCTCCCATTCTGTGGGCTGCCTCTTCACATTCTTGATGAGGTCCTATGAAGCACAAGAGTTCTCAAGTTTGATGATATCCATTTTATCTATATTTTTCTTTTGCTGTTTATGTTTTTGGAGTCACATCTAAGAAACTCTTGCCTAATCCAAAGTCACAAAAATTTACCCCTATGTTTTCCTCTAAGCGTTCTATAGTTTTCCTTCTTATGTGTAGGTCTTTGATCCATTTTAATTTTTGCGTACGGTGAGTGGTCCAGTAATATTCTTCCGCACGTGGACATCCAGCTGTATCAGACCATTGGTTGAAAAGACTATTGTTAGGATGCCTAGGTGGCTCAGTCATTTAAGCGCCCAACTTCGGCTCAGGTCATAATCTCGCAGTTTGTGGGTTTGAGCCCCACGTAGGGCTCTGTGCTGACAGCTCAGAGCCTGGAAACTGCTTTGGATTCTGTGTCTCCCCCTCTCTCCATCCCTCCCACCCTCCCTCCCTCCCTCTCTAAAAACAAACATTAAAAAAAAAAAGCCATTCTTTCCCCTGCTGAACCATCTTGACATCTTTACTGAAAATCCTTTAGACAGTAAATGTGAGGGTTTATTTCTAGGTTCTCAATTCTATTCCATGACCTATAAGTCTATCTTTATGCCAGTACCACCCCATCTTGATTACTGTAGCTTCAGTCTGTCAAAAAATGTGAGTTCTGCAACTTTGTTCTTCTTTTTCATGATTGTGGCTACTTTCGTTCCCATGAATGTCTACGTTAATTTTGGGATGAGTTTGTCAACTTCTACAAAGAAATTAGCTGGGTTTTTATAGGGAATGAGTTAAATCTATAGATCAATGTAGGTGGTATTGTCCTCTCTGCAATACTAAGTCTTCCTATCCATGAACATGGGATATCTTTCTTTCCATCTATGCAGGCCTTTTCATTTTTTTTCAATGTTTCGTAGTTCACAGTAAAAATTTTGTACTATGTTAAATTTATTCCTAAGTGTTTTATTCTTTTTAATATTATTACAAAATGGAGCTGTTTTCTTAATGTCTCTTCCAAATTTGTTCATTGCTACCATTTACAACTACAATTGAATTTGACATACTGGTCTTGTAACCTGCAGCTGTACTGAACTTGTTAGTTCTAGTGTTTTTAGTGATTCCTCAGGATTTTCTACACAGTGATTATGTCCTCTGCAAGCAAAGTTTTATTTCTTACTTTCCAAACTAGATGCTTTTTAATTTCTTTTTCCTGCCTAACTAGAACTGACAGTACCATGTTGAAGAGAAGTGGTGAGAGCAGTCAACCTTATCTTGTTCTTGCTCTAAGGAGAAAGCATGACGTGAACTTGGGGGTGTCACAGGTGCCCAACATCATGTCGAGGAAGTTCCTTTCTTCTCCTGGTTTGTTGAATGCTTTTGTCACGAGTCAGTGAATGCGGTCATATGCCTCTCCAGCATCTACTGGGATGATCATGTGGGTTTTGCGCTTTATTGTACTGATACAGTATATTACTTTGACTTTTGTATGCTGCACTAACCTTGCATTCATGGGGATGAAAGTACAGATATATGGTCATTTTTATATATTGCTGGATTTGATTAACTAATATTTACTTGAGGGTTTTTGCCCTAACAGTCATAGGAGACACTGCTATCTAGGTTGTAGATACTCCTCTGTAGGAGAGACAGAGAGAAACAGAGCACAAGTGAGGTAGGGGCAGAGAGAGAGGGAGACACAGAATCCAAAGCAGGCTCCAGGCTCTGAGCTGTCAGCACAGAGCCTGACACAGGGCTCGAACCCACAAACCATGAGATCATGACCTGAGCCAAAGTCGGATGCTTAACCAGTGGAGCCAGCCAGATGCCCCCGTAGGTTTTTTTAAACTGTGGCCTCACAGAATGAGTTGGGAAGTGTTCTGCTTTCCGCCTTTGATCGTTTCAAAAAGCTAGAAACAGAAACCACCCTGGTTGAGCAACCAGTGGGCTTTTGTTTAAAAATGCTCATTTGGTCCTTGACCAGAACCTGCTTTTGCATATTTGGGGGCTGTGCTGCCTTAGACTTCTGCCCTCTGCTCTGCTAAGCAGATCAAAGAGACCTTTAAGTGGAGAAGGCTGGAAACGGAGATCTGACCAGCTGCTCACCATTTAAAAAATTAACTAACTTCCTACCTCCATTCATACCCGCAAGGAACAGGGGTAGGAAGACCACCAGGAAATCTGGTGCATTTCTGGACCAAACACGAAAAGAAGACGAAGATGCCTTCTGAGGTTCGGAGAAGAGGCAGCGCCGTCTTCAGTTATGCTGTGGCTCCCTGAGCGAAGTTCCAGAGAGCACAGACCCCCACCTGGCTCCCGAACAGGCACCCCTCTCCCCTCTCAGGGCAGAGGAGAGGATGGGATGGGACTGAGCAAACCATTCCTGGGGAGCAGCACGTGTGCCCCCAGGCCCACAGGCAACTGAGACAGACCCTGATGTGGAGGGCGGACCCAGGTCAGGCTGCTCCTTCTCCTTCAACTTACCTCTCACCCAGATAGTCCCCGATCACGGTCTTATTTAGGCCTTCTCCTTTATACAGGAACTGGGCCACGTCCTCTGGGGAGCTCTGCAGCAGGTCATTCTCTATTAGAAACTGAATTCCCTGAAGAACATAAGGAAGGAAGCTCTCGTTAGGAGGGTCGCCCAGACTCCTTTGCAAAGACAGAAAGACATCTAGAGTGATGATCTCACCGGCTGGGCCAGGTAAAAATAACAGCACGCTCGGATTCTCACTCACACCCCATAGGACATCGTGTCCACCATAGAAAAGCAAGTTCATTCCTCCTGGAAACTTAACAGGCTAAAAGGCAAATAAACAGGTTGCTGGACAAACCATTACAAGGAAGTTCTTAGAGATTTTAAAGGCAGAGGTAGTAACAGCACTGAATTTCCCAAGCTCGGAAGAACAAATCTGCCGTGTGTGCACAAGAGGAACGCGTTGTACGTGGTCAGCCAAGCCAGGCCCTCCAAAGCTCCCCTTTTTCCTTGCCTTTCCTCACTAAATAATCACTTTCCCAGCCTCCCTTGTAACTAGAAGTGACCTTGTGACCTTGTAACTAGAACTGACAGATCTGGTCAGAAAGCAGTCTGCAGGGAGGACCTGGGGAAGGTGGTGCCTTCTCGATAAAAAGGGGCTCACAAGCAGACACCGCTCCTCCTTCCTCCTTCCTGCCGCGAATGCAGATGTGATGGCCGGAACCGTCACGGCCACCGGACGAAGGGAAAGGCCCGGACCAACACAGGGCCTGGGTCCTGACACTTGGGAGCCACTTGTCACACTGCAGCCACCTCTGCCGTGTGAGCAAACAGTGCGCTGTGCAAGCTGTGTTTACAAGACTTTCTGTCGGCTGTGGCTGAATGTGTTCACTGATCCCTGGGCCACCGAGTCTAAGCCACGGAAAATTCATGCCCGCTTGAAGGCCTTAAAGGGCACAGGTGACGACGTCTAAGTGAAAGACTGCAGTGGGGCTGCTCTGCCCAAATTAGCCTTGCTCATCCCGGAGAAGTCCTGATAAGACTGAATTAGTGGTGCTCATCCTGGAAAAGTTCTAATAATACTGAAATTTTACCTCGGACACAGCTTCTGAGCTGATTTCGAGATCCATGCTGGCAAAGCTCTTAAGGGAATTCTCTCATCTCTTTGCTACAGATTCGGAGGTGATTTTCCAGATGAAACTCTCAGTACCTGGGACCTGGGCTCCCTCACACCACATGGTCCCTGCTGAGCTGTCAGCACGGAGTCAGACACGGGGCTCGAAACCACAAATGCCAAGATCATGACCTGAGTCGAAGTCTGGTGCTTAACCAACTGGGCCACCTAGACGCCCCACCACATGGTCCATCTGAAGTCTTAGTTTTTCAAACACGTGAATGTCCACAGCAGCCTTATTTAGAATTCCCCAAAACTGGCAACAACCCAACATCCAATCAGTGAGGAGAGAGAAACCTATTCTGGTAGATTCCATATGATGGAACACTACACAGCAGTGAGACAGAACAAACGCACTACATGGAACAATCTGACAGGCGTGATACGGAGTAGAAGGACGACACAGAGAGGACCTTAATGCCATTTACATCAAGTTCAAGACAAGCAACACTGCTCTGTGGGGACAGAGTGGAATTCACTCACCAAGAGGAGACACAGACAGACACTCCTAATGCCCCCCAACCACATCTTGCTCTGGGTCACACGAGAATTCTAATTTGTAAGAATTCGTCAAGCTGTGCACTCAAACTTTGCGCACCATATGCTGTTCTTCAGAAAATAAAAAAGTTTACCAAAAACTCAGTGTGTCTGACTATCCTAAATTAACTCTCGTCTATTTCTGGTGGGAGCTGAAGCGAGCACAGACCCCCTGGGTACCGTCTCCTGAGCAAGAAGACATGCACATACCGTAACAAAGCATTCCAGTCCCAAGTGTGCACCTGTCCTACCAGGTCCCCAGAAAACAAGCTATGGGATGAAAGTGATGACGCTGGTATCTCATTGCCCCAAGTGCCATCTGAACCCAGCACCCACGGTGAGGCAGGTGCGGCAGCGTGGTGGATGGGAGGGGAGCTCTGGGCGGCAGGGTAGAGGTTTACTGTCTGACCTAACGTCCTTGGCAAAGAGGTCAGAGGCCACAGCTGCCCTGGTCTGCCTCTCTGGACTCCATGCCCCAAGGACTCACAGACTGGCTGTGGGTGCAACTGGTAGATCCCACAACCCCCCAAACTGCAAGAACAGGGGCAGAGAGCATCCAAAGGAGCCCAAGATCCTGGGACCAAGGGACCGGCACAAACAGATGCGCCCTGGGGTATGCCTGGCTGGCATCTGGAGCGACATCCCTGGCCTAGTGTTTCATGACCACTGTGGCTGTGACGGTGGCCAGGGTGGTGGCCCGCGGTTCTGAAACCGCAAGCTGCAGGCTGTTTTGCAGCCAGTTCCCCGTGGCCACCTCCCTTCTGCCCGTGCTACTGTGCCTCACAACCTTGGTGGGGCCATGGCTCTGAGAGGGTCCTGTATCCGTCCAGCCCTGCACTCTCTTCAGCCTCCCAGCAGCCCCCAGAGTTCGTAGGCCCAGCAATTTCTGCAGTCGCAAGGTCCCGGGCACTCCATCAGTCTATGCTGCTGGGCCTGGTGATAAGCTCTCCAGAGCTGCTCATGACCTGCCCTACAATTCCAGCACTAGGAAGGTCCTCAGGGAGGAGCCTCAAAAACTGGGATCTGAGAAGAGCAAGTAGGTTCGGAACAAGGTAATCCTGTCTGCACTTCAAGGGTACAGAAGGCGCCAGAGGAGCCCCAAGTCAAGCTCCAGCTCCCTCTGCAAGAAGTACCGGAAAACATGGAGACAATGGGGGCAAGCCCAGGCCAGCGACTAGTAAGAGAAAATGGAGCAAAAGCTCGAGTCAAAGAGAGCATTTATTCAGGAGAAACCAGACCCAGAGGCAGAGGAGGAAGACACAGAAGCCGTCCTCGTACAAGGCAGGGGAGGCATCACCATCCATGTGACGTGGACGCTGAGACTACAACGATGGGTCCACGAGCCGGGGGACCACCAAGGACCACTGGCAGCCGCCACAGGCTGGGAGGGAGGCACAGAGCAGACCCTCCATCAGAGCTTCTGAAAGGAACCGACCTGCCCACACCCGGACCTCACACTTCTGGCCTCTGGGACTGTGAAACACCGCATTTCTATTGTTTTAAGCCACCAAGTCTGTGGCCATTTATTCTAGCAGCCAGGACCCGAATA